TTAAGTAGTCGACACTTGAGAAAGCCTGAAATCATCTCATGAAAGATGTATCAGGATAGAATGACAATTATTATTGATAAAATGAATTTTCAGTGTGATTCTGCTGGATTGCCAATGAGTAAGCTTCCCAGATTCACTTCCTGGGCATTTCAGTTTGTTTTGAAGTCACAGGATTTAAAACTGTTTTGAGTTAGGAAAATAACTCAACCCTGCCATATGGGAAGGCAAATATTTAAAAAATTATTAGCCTTTATAAAATAAAATTTAATGAGTAGCAGGCAATAAATGCTAGGAAAAAAACTATTCCAAAGTAGATCTTCTGCACTGCTGTCTATGTGGGATAAGACATAACATTATACAACACTGAATTTAAAAGAACTCTTGCTTTTCTTTTCATCTTTTTTTCCCCCTAGCATTTAAAAAAAATCTTTTACCCATCTGCTTTTGCTCTACTTTTGCTGTATTTTTCCAGTGTGCTCCTTTCCTCTCTTTAGCAAAACTCAAACCTGGTGGTATTGAATTTTATGTCCAATTAATAATTGGACCCACAATGTTTAAATGACTGCAAGATTATATTAAATTAATTTACTTATGCTAAATATTCTGCAATATAAGACAGTATTTCCTGACCCTTTTAATAAGCTCACACGACTCAATTCTTTTATTTCCTTTTTGATTGAGAACTTACCTGGCCCAACAGCAAAGACAACTGTAAACAGGATAATGAGAGCAAGGCTGCAGTATGGCATCCAGAAGTACCAGTCCTGGGGGAAAAAACCATAACAAACTTCAGGTTAAAAACTGTTACCAGCCCTAGGTGAGGAATGCTCCTGCTTTTCCAACACCTCAAAAAAGAAATATTCAGTGTGTGGGCACTGAGAGCTGTGAGTGCTTCTCTCTGTGAGTGGAGCACTGAGATCTCTGTCAGGGGAGCAGACAGGGCAGAGCAGCTGCAAAGCCAGGGAGGCTTCCATTAAATGAAATCTGAAGAGCTTTTATGCACCCTGTCCTTTCTTTTTGACCTCATAGTTCTTCCTCTGATCCTTAGGGATATATGAGAAGGACAAATCAGATATTTCTTAATTTTGTTCAGTTATGGATTTAAAAACTGGTACTGAAAAGCAATTTTTATAGATCTTAGTCAAGAGAAATGAGACTTCATGCTTTAGGTAAAGAAGATTTCTCTCTTCTATGTAGGAGAGCTTTCATGAATGAAACAAAAGCAGAAGTCTGCTGCCACCTTGCTTCCAGGTCAGTTTTGCAGTGTGTCTGCAGGGTAGCTCTGGATGAGAACTGATAACATGGGAGATTTGCTTCTGGAAAGGCTGCAGCAATGACACAGAAGTGTCACTGTTTGAGAGGTGGACTGGTCTCCAGTCTGAACAGACAGTGCCTTCCCACAATCATCTGCAGCAAAGTTCAGTTTCCAATGAACTGATGCCGAAGCTCTGGGGTTTTGCTGTTGCTTGTTAAAGCCAGCATGGACAGAAAGGGCCATTTTCCTACAAGTGCCTTGTGGTGTGTGCTGGCTGCTGTTTGGTGCTTGCAGTCTGATAAATCAGGAACCAGTGTCCCAGTGGTTTTTGTGTTCCTTGCTAAGGTCATGGGATCATGTTGAAAGGAAGGCAGGGGTACGAGGCTCTAAGAGAGAGTTTAATTCTACAGATAGGTAAGCTTGATCTAAGCCTCACTTTCCTTTCTCAGTAGCGTGGTCCTGCCAGTGAGCTGTAGATCAGAAACAGAATGGAGCAATCAGCTGTGAGCAGAACTTCCTTACCTGCAGGGACAGAGTCACAGTGATAGCAGCTAGCAGTGAGCCCATGATCCAGTAGCCTCCTCTGATGAGCGCTTTCCTGCCCAGCCTCTCAATGATGGAGCTCTGAAGGGCAGAAATCCCATCAGTGCCAGTGCCAGAGAGCAAAATGTGCCCGTCTCCCCTGGTAATGGGACTTACACAGACTACAGCAGCCACGAGTTCAGAGAGCCCAATGGAGAGGGTCATGTAGGAGGCCATTTTTTCATCAAAGCCAGCTGCCTGGAGGACTTCAAAAGTGTAAAAATAAATCTGGAAAAAAGAAATCAAACAGTAAGAGAAGAAAAGAATGGATTTCTTATCCAAAGCTGTGTGACACTGCCCTAGATATGAGCTGCTGATCAGGGAGCATGCAGCTCAGCTTTGAAGGGAGCTGGAATTCTGTTCTCTTTTTGGTAGTATTCACTCTATCAGCAGACAAAAATATTATAAAGCATTATATAATTAATTTACTAATGAATTTAATAAAGGATAAAATGCTGGGATGATTAGATCTCCAGCTACTACAATGCAATCAGATTTGCAGACTCCTGATCTAGGTGCTTTCAGAAACAGCCAGCTATGTCTTGTTATCAGAGCCCATCCAAAACCATTCCCAAGAAAGAGGAGCGTGGGTTATGGAGTCATGAGGGGTTAAACCAAACATCTTTCCAAGTATCTCTGCTGGTGTTTGGAGATATGCTGAGTGATAAAGATTCCAGTTTAAGCTGTGTTTGTTAGATTCAGCTGTGTTAGATTCAGCTGTGTGTTTCCTTTGCAGATGCTGCAGCAGCATGGTGTTAGAGGCAGCAGGGTCATGCAAAGCTGTGACCTCACAGGACCCCAGAACAGCAGTGCAGTGAGGAAGAGCAGAGCTGCAGGAGCTGCAGAACAGGCAGCATGCTTGCTGTTAGCTTTAAGGGCAGAGTGAGCAGCCTGCCATCCCAACACCTCAGGGGACAAATAGCAGCAGTTGCAGTGAGCAATCACACAAAACTACAGATTTTGCTAGCAGAGTGGGGTCATTCCCAAGAGCGAGCTCTGCAGTGGCTCCCAAAGGTGGCTGCTCAGAGACAGGGAACTCCAGCAAGGACAAGAGCTGGCCACAGGGATGTCACACACAGAGCCCAGCCCAGCTCTGTGGCTGCTGCCGTCCTGCTGAAGGGCTGGCACACAGCAAGGTTTGGGCTGAGGAGCCTGAGAAAACCGGAGGCAGCTCCTATGAGCTGTGATATCTTGGGGCTTGGAGGGGGAAATGCACTCAACTGCATTGATGCCACAGAGCTGAATTGTGGCGGTCAGGGTAACTATCATGTACAGCTGCCAACGGAAAGCTGGTTCTCTCACTAGTTCCAGGACACTCAAGATCTTGGTGTTTTTCATTGTTGCTTTCTCTTTCATGATGTCATCAATCTCTGCTTGGTGTTGGCCTTCACCCCAAAGCTGCCTTATGGCTGTGGAGAAGGAGAGCGAGACCTGCCATGTTAATTCATCTCTGGTTTTTCCCTAAGGTTTCTGAGCAGTGAGACAAGAGTCTGGCAGCCCAGTGTGCAGGGCTGGGGCTGTGCTGAGATGTCTTACAGAATGTTCCAGAGCCCTTACAGGGTGTTCCAGAGCCCTGATCCCCTCCTGCTCAGTGGGCCCTAGTGGGGTACAAAGGGCTCCCTCCCTGCCCATGGGGCCACTGTTCTGCCTTCCTCCTTCTCTCAGGGTGTGAGCAACCAATACCCAGAGCTAAGTCCAGTGGAGCCCTGCAGTGCAAACAGCTAATTTTCATTTATTATTTAGCATTAATCATCAGGCTGACAGTGCAGGTGGTGTCAGACAAATGTGAAAGGTTTTGTACCACAGAGCTGTAGAGGGAAGTAGCTTTGTGCTCTATGTGGGGACTACAATAATGGACTCAGGCGTTCACAGAGCCATGTGGGAAATGAGCAGGGAGAAACTTTGTCCTATTTATTTCTTTCCATATGGGGAAAGCAAGCATCACAAAATGATTCTAAGGGAGGAACAGGAACCTGAAGCTCTCAATTACCTTTTTTGCAGGCTTCCTGGTCTCCTTTCTGCATGAGGAGGTAGGGTGGGGACTCTGGGAAGAAGGGAAGGGCGAGCAGCTGCACCAGGGCTGGCAGGCCACAGGAGGCCATCAGCAGGGGCCACAGAGCCTGGCTGCCCAGCAGCTCCCTGCCAGGGACAAAATGTGGGTTAGGGTTCATTGCACTTCTCTGAGGAGACAAAGGAAGGGATGGAAAAGCACAGGGAGGAGCAAAAGGTGAGAAGGATCCAGAAATGAATTGTGTGGGTAATTAATTGCACGATACCTTTGTCCTGAAATTTGTCCTATGGCTTTTCCCAACGTCCAAAAGAAGGAGGAAGTCGAGTTTGCAAATCCACGGAGCTTCCTGGGGGAAATTTCTCCAACATATTGGTGATGTAGAGGAACACAAAGACCTTGAGGTGAGGAGGGAGTTATGGGAGAGAAGAAAAAAGACATAACCATTGGAAATCCAGTTATATCCACTGGGTGTAAATAATTAAATATTACAGAATACAGCTGTGTCTGGCACATTAACTCACATCTGAGACTTTCAGTGCTAGATTTTTTTAAACTCTTTCTACAAAAGTATTGGTCCTATTTGCAGAGTGCAGTTTCCCGACCTTAAGAAATGTACAGTTCTCCCTTTGAAGTGCAGGTGTAGCCTCATCATAAGCTCTCCTGTGAGCCTTAGCATGTTTTAAAGAACACAGGGTATGCAAGTGCTGAATAATTAAGCACTTTTCAGCAGTATTTAATATACTTGTAGTTAACCCACATAATCTCAGTCTTTTCTGACATGATGCTTTTGAAGAGCTGTATGGCAGACTCATGGCAAATTATCACATATAGAGCTACAGTCAATGTTGATTTGTATGTGATTTAGGTGGAGACTTGATATTTATTTTCTGCTGCCCATCAATAATTTTTATTATTTCAGGCAGAGTTGATGTTTCCAGTTATATTCATTAACTCAGACATGCTAAATACTAGTCTGGGAACAGGAGCTTTTTCCTGATATGGGGGTCACAGCCCCTTTTATCTGTTTCAGATGCAACATGTTCTTCTCTTGGCTGTATGTGATGGCAAAGCAATCTCTTTTGATTGCAGTCTCTTTAACAAAAATCAGGTTTTTGAATGGGTTATGATATAGATTCTAGAAGAGAGCAAGGCCCCTGTTGGTAAGCTGTTCTCAAATTACAACCACAGCTCTTCAAGACATCTCTTTGTCACAGAAGCCATGTACAAAATCTGGTTATTTGAAAAATAGGCACTAAGTGAACTCTTGAATAAGTTAAAAGATTCATCCCCATGAATATGCAAACAATAGAAAGGCAAGTTTTGTGTAGGGAAAAATACAAAAAATACTGATAGGAGCACAGGATGGTTTTACTACCTGTAGTTTACTTGCCAGGAGTGATTTTGCTTTATTAGGCCCAGATCTTTGTACTAACCCCAAGGACTTACTGCTTGGAATACTCCTCCTTGTGAAAATACTACCTTTAAACTGCATAATTATCAGTACTGCTAGATAAATTTAAGAAAATGCTATACACATTTTTCTTGAGAAAATCCCTTTTTTCATGAGGTATCAAAACATTTCTGACATCTCTGAATATTCATACACTTGGCAAAGTTGAATTTCATTTTTAGTGAAATTGATAATAATTATGCCCTTTATTGCAGAGCATTATAGAAAATCTTCTTACAAAAGATCACTGACTTCAAGATTTGTTTTCTCAGAGGAGCTTATTATTGACTTTGAAAAAAGATGGAAAATGATGTGAGATTCAGCTGACCTGTGGGAGAAGTCACTCACCTGCACTCACTCCACACATGAAGCGTCCAATCAGAATCATCTCAAAGGACTGGGATATTTTACTGCAGCCCATGATGGAGGCTGCCACTATCATCAGCACGTTGTTGCACAAGAGACATTTCTTTCTGTAAATGCAAGAAAATGAAAAGATTTTTTTGTGGCTCAGAAGGGAAACGGCACTTAATGCCTCAGAAGGGAAATAGCACTTAATGCCTCAGAAGGGAAATAGCATTTAATGCCATGCAGGAATTCTTGGCTGAAGTTGTCTTGATGGATTTTTGAAATTACAAATGTGTGGTCCAGGACAAAATGAGCACTTTGGACTCATGGTGTGCCTTGACACGTGGCTGCACCTGGGGGTTTGGGAACACTTCTGGGGTGTGTAGCAGGGAAAACTCTGAAGGCTTTCTGCACTTGGACATGCACTGTGAAACACATTATTGCAGCACCAACAGGGATCTCAGTGCTGCTGTGTTTTGAGTGGCACTTTCCAGACCCCATTCTGACTTCAGCCAGGAGCTGCCTTTCCCCATTGCTGAGATGAACCCAGGCATGGCTCCATGGGCAGGAAGCAGGGGAATCAGCTGCCACCACAGCTGAGCTGGCTGAGTCTCTTATTTTTATCGCTGAGTCTAAAATCTGCCTCGTTTATAACCCCAACTATCATTTCCTTAAGCTAACACATTTCCTTCAGCTGACACATTGTCTCTGACCATACATACTTGCCAAATTTGACAGTGAGGTATCTGCTGCCTGAGGAGCCCAGGAGCCCTCCTATGCCAAAGATGGACACAGTGAAGGACCACAGGAACAGGAGGTTGTCCTGCTGGATGGGGTGGCCATAGCGCTCCAGCCACGTCTCATTAATGAAAGCCTTAACGTGCTGAGACAGAAAATAAAATCATTAACAATGCCTGTGACAGCAGTGCAGGGATTTTGTCACATTTACAAAATAATTTTGTTGCTTCAGCGGAAGTTACTTATTCTCATAGGCTTTAGAAGTGTGTATTAGCTATCAGACATAGTATAATAGAGTGCTATGCTCATACTGCCATTAAAATTCAATCTTTGAGATTTTTATCCTTATAATCTGAGGAAGCAAGGCATGGAGTGGTACTAAAAAACAGTGTAAACAGTACTACAAAGTTCTGCAATTGAATTATGGGTTTTCTCTCACATACCTGCCAAGAATGTCACATTACACAGAGCCTGTTCAGTGCAATTCCTAAATACTTTTTCATTCAGAACTTAGTGCTCTGAAGCGAGAAAATAGTGCTTTTCCATTAAGGTGATGTGTACAAAATAATGATATATTCCCTCTAGACTTCAGTGCCCTTAATGTGATCAGTGGAGAGAAGCAGACTTTTCCTAGAGCGTGGCTCACTTGTTCTATTTTTCTGTGAGGATGGATAACCATAAAAATATAAACTGAAACCATGAAGAAGGCACATGTGCTGTGAGATTTTAGGGGAGACAGATGCCACCCTAGTTAGTGTGTGTCTTCTGAGGAACACTTCTATTAACAACTTCCAGATCTATTTTCTTCTATTTGCTACACTTTGACACGCCCTGCTCCTCATGATAGCGCAGCAAATGGGAAATGAGAGGAGAATACTGTGATCAAACCCTTCCTCAATGCCAGAGCAGCAGCCTCAGGCAGCAGTGGAGACCCAGGCCAGGTGCAGCTTTGCCTACCTGAGACATGTAGGTGATGGTGGAGATCTGAAAGCCAATTTGGAATGTGCCACCAATGCCCAGGACTGTGATCATCCGAAAGAGCCCCTGGTACTGAACCTGCAGAGGTACAACAAAATCTTCTTAAGGTTGTACCCACATCAGGCTGTTCTCAAAATCATTCTCCAGAAACCTCTCGTTTGCTCAGGGGATTTTCAGGTAGCAATATTCTCTCTGCTTGCCCTGGTGTGGGATGTACATCCTTCTGTGATTTCCCTCCATCCAGCTCAAGGAAGTGCAGCTTCCACAAACATCCAACTCAAGGCACCATGGCTTCTACATCCTGTTCCCTGCCTCTCAAAACCTCTGCTCCCATGGCTTGCACTAAATAATTAGGTGTATTTTTAAAACACTTTTTTTTACCAGGTAAGCAAAACAAATTCTATTTCTAGGTAAGCAAGTATTTTTCAGTCCAGGAAAGCATTTAAGACACATTGTGGTGGTGTTCACAGGGATCCGAGGATGGGGGAAGAGACCAGGATCTGACTCCATGTTTCAGAAGGCTGATTTATTATTTTATGATATATATTATATTAAAACTATACTAAAAGAATAGAAGGTAGGATTTCATCAGAAGGCCAACTAAGAATAGAAAAGAAGGAATGAATAACAAAGGCTTGTGACTCGGACAGTCAGAGCCAGCTGACTGTGATTGGCCATTAATTACAAACAACCACATGAGACCAATCACAGATGTACTTGTTGCATTCCACAGTCACAGATAACCATTGTTTACATTTTGTTCTTGAAGCTTTTCAGCTTCTCAAGAGGAAAAATCCTAAAAAAAGGATTTTTCATAAAAGATGTCTGTGACAACACATTAATATATGGATAAAAATATGGTAAAGATGGATGGCAGAGCATATGAAATGCTCTAATACCTCAAAATAGTGGACAGAACCACTTCCAAGATGCTTGTAGTAAACAGGAGCCTTGTTCTTACCAAGACACCATTTTTTTTTCTTTGAAGCCCCAGTAGCACACAAAAATGTCCCAGATGTGAATACCCCAGCAAGTACTCACCAGGTTTGAAAGGAAACCAGTCATCTCTGCCTGAGGGCTGGCTGTCCAGCTTGTGGTGTGGCTTTGTCATCACAGGCTTGTGTCTCTCTGTCTCCTGCCTGCTGCTCCAGCTCTGGGCATTTGGCTTCAGGGATCAGAGTTAAATTTTCACTGTTTCATCTTCACTCACTTATATTTACTTCAACTGGCCAAAGTTAACACTGCCAGATTAAGTATTTCAGGAAATAATTACATCTAGTCCAGTCTCGAGGGGGAAAGTATCAAAGCAAAGAAAATTAGCATCTGGGGACCAGTGAGGGCTTTGGGAAGGGAAACAAGAAGAGCTCAGGCAAAACAGCCCAAACAGTTTTCCAGGAACAGTAAAATGCTTTATTCTATGGTATAGACTAGTGTGTATAGCTGCCATAATCTGCAAAAAACAAAAAGCAGCTGGTACAAGGTTTAGTAACTGTTATTTATTAGTAAGTAAGGTATGTAATTCTTTGGTAAAGTAAAAATGATAATTAGAAGACAAATAGGCAAATTTCAGAGGCTAATTTTGCTGTTCTGGCCTTATGAATCCCCTTCCTCAGAAGGGGAAAATAGATCTGGAAGTTGTTAATAGAAGTGTTCCTCAGAAGACGCACACTAACTAGGGTGGCATCTGTCTCCCCTAAAATCTCACAGCACATGTGCCTTCTTCATGGTTTCAGTTTATATTTTTATGGTTATCCATCGTCACAGAAAAATAGAACAAGTGAGCCACGCTCTAGGAAAAGTCTGCTTCTCTCCACTGATTTGTTGTCTGGTGTTTATGGAGATGTTTGTTGACCAGGTGTGGTGAAAAAGCAGTAAGAGGCTAAGACTCATGAAAATTGTCAGAAAATAAAAATATGCCCTAACAAATTGGGATAGGACCACCAGGATCTCCTTCCCTCCCTCAGGCTCCAGCTTTGACACAGAATGGCTCCAAAATCAGTGTTGCAGGTGACAAATCCCCTTTGATTGCCAGGGGCTCCTTTCCTGTGAGGCAAAGCTCCAGCTGCAGCTCTGTGCAGCTCCCACTGGGAACAGGAGCTTGGTGTGCCTGGGGCTTTCCTGCCTGGTTGATGCCCTGTGCAATTCTGGCCCTCAAAGCCTTTGCTCATTCTCCTCATGCCAGGGCTCTGTCCTGGGGCACTGGGGTTACACTGAGGCCCCCAGGAAATGCTCAAGCTCACCCTCAGGACTTGTAAAGTCAGTTTATAAAACACAGAATGTAATTATTTACAGAGGGGTTCACTGTAAATCCTCTGAGTCTAAATAAAGGAGAAAAACGCATGTTAATATTAAAACCTTGGTTGTTTGTTAACTCCAAGTGTTGTCTGTATAACTGCGTAGCAAATGCTGTTTATCCTGGCTGGCAGCAGTGTTTAGGATGAGTTGGCATTTTTTGTATTTTCTCTTGAACACTGACATTATAATTACCTGCATATCTCTTGGTTATTGTTTCAAAATGGCAGTGTTGCCTTTTCATGATGTGTTTTTTCTCAAATTGTAGTGAGGTGTAGGGAGGTTATGTTGTAGGGATTCACCCCTTGAAAATCATAACTGAGGACCTCAAATAGCAGCAAATCCCACCAGCTCACAGTGAGAAATGTCTCTTACATTTTGAGGGATTTCTGGTGATCCTGAGCCATGGTGCTATTTCACCTTATTAGCACTTTTAGGAGAATTTAATTCTAGGAGATTCCTTCTTGGATGTTTCTGAAACCAATGAAATGGACCATTTGTGTTGGAAATGTCACCTATATTCTTGAAAAAGCTGCTACACTGGAAGTTGTGCAGGATTTCATGTTTAAAGAATTATTTCTGAGTTAAGGAGATCTTGTTTGACCGTATTCACAGGGTCTTAGGATGAGGGAAGAGATGAGGATCTGACTCCATGTTTCAGAAGGCTTGATTTATTATTTTATGATATATATTATATTGAAACTATACTAAAAGAACAGAAAAAAAATTTATCAGAAAGCTAGCTAAGAATAGAAAAAAAAAAAGAATGATAACAAAAGCTTGTGGCTCGGACAGAGAGTCCAAGCCAGCTGACTGTGATTGGCCGTTAATTAGAAACAATCACGAGACCAATCCCAGATGCACCTGTTGCTTTCCACAGCAGCAGATAATCAATGTTTACATTTTGTTCTTGAGGTTTCTCAGCTTCTCAAGAGGAAAAGTCTTTAAGATTTTTAAAATCTTAAAGATTTTAAAAATCTTAAAGACTTTTCATAAAAGATGTCTGTGACAATATTGTAATTTTTTTTTTTTAACAGAGCTGTAAGAAATGCTTGCTGTGAAATGGACAAACACACAGACCCCACCTCCATGAGGTGTGTCAAACAAACAGTTTTGTGTAAAAGCTGAAAATCAGGCTTGGTTCCAAGCCAGACTGAGGCACACTGGACTCGTGGATGACTGAAGCCATCTGCAGTTTAATTTCACACCTAGACAAACTCAGTGGTTTCTTTTAGATTTGATTTGGGTTTGTTGTAATCCAAAACTCAAAATGAAATTCTGAATAACAAAATCACGGGGACTGGAACGAAAGAAGATGCTTAGGCACAAAACACATTCTAAGTGAATTCTAAGATTTTAACACAGCACATATTTTATGTTACAATGACTGGTTGATTGTTGACTCAGCAATCAACATTGATTGTTGATTGCCCTGACATTTTCAAGATCATTTGAGAGTGATTCATTTGAGAAGATTCCACTGGTGTCAGTGAAAAAATATTGGTATCTTTTCCCATAATAGAAAACAATAATTTGCCTTTGTTTTGCAGTCTGCAAGCATCAAGGGCTTTTACGACCTAATACATGTTCTTTCTGCTGACCAGTTGGTGTAGGTGGCACTTCCTCAAGAGAAGTATTTCCTGTAAAGGAATGAGGTCTCCTAAAATCTAACACGCCAAATTCATCATTATTTTCATAACAAAGTTTTACTTTGTCTCTGGAATGAAGAGGAAGATGATAATGTTGAGCTGATGAGGATCTCAGCAAAGATAAGGAAGAAGAAAGAGATGAGGTTTTCCTGGAAATAAAACAGACAAAGAAAATTTTATTGTATTTTTCTGCTCCTCCTGTTACAGGAGGATGGAATGATGACAATGAAGGCAAAGTTTAAGTTCATGAAATCCAGTTTGTTTGGTTACTGTGACATGATACACTCCAGTCTTGAGGTGTGAAACAGCAATAGAAATGAAATAGTTAACATTTTCTTCTTTCTTTAAGGCAAGATAGGTAGGGTGAGTAGTCAAAATAATTTGAGATGTCTCTTGCAGATGTATGAGAGAAAGGCATTGGTACAGGATTAAAACAACCCACAAACATTAATATAGGCAGTTTAATCATCAATTCTCTGGTTTCTCAGTAACTGCAGGTGATGCAGCAAGAGTGAGCACTGGGGAGAGCAGGGCTCCTGAGGGCTGGCACTTTGGCTTGCTGTGCTTTGGGAGGATGAGGATGAGGATGAGGAGAGGGAAAGGCCATGAAGAGAGGAGGAGCCCAGCAAAGCAACCTGGCTTCTGCAGGAGACTCTGGAGCTGTAGCAGAGGCAGCCACTTCACAGGAAGGGCCAGAGGGATCCAAGGCAGTTTCCAAAGCAGCCTTGGTGCTGGGTGACAGGGATGGACAGTCCCTCTGCAGGGCTCCAGCTGAGAGCAGCTCCTGCAGCAGGAGCAGCAAAGAGTGAAAGAGAGGAGGAACTGAGACATGAAAGTGGAAGTTACTGCAGAGGAGCACACCACTGCTCTGGGACAGTGCCAATGGCGAGCACTGATCCCAAGGGGTGTTTTCCATCTGTCTAGTGAGTTAGCAACTGTGTGGCTTTAATGTGTGCTCAGCACAGGTCAGAGGCACTGTCACCTGCAGCTGCATTGCACTCTGAAACCTGGGCAGGAAAGAACAGCATGGAAGGAGAGAAATGTTAAATTTGTGATCCATTTGGCCTCATGCTGTCCTCATCTCTCACAGCAGACACAGGAATGAGAGATTCCCCTGGATAACACCTGGGCAGGCCAGGAAAGAGCAGCATGGAAGAACATAATTGTTACATTTGTGATCCATTTGGCCTCATGCTGTCCTCGTCTCTCACAGGAGACACAGGAATGAGAGATTCCCCTGGATAACACCTGGGCAGGCTGGGAAAGAGCAGCATGGAAGAGAAATGATTTGTAATCTGTCACAGACATTTTTTCATAAAAATCCTTTCTTTTAGGATTTGTCCTTTCTGGGAAGCTGAGGCCCCAGAAGAAAAATGTAAACAATAATTATCTGCTGTTGTGGAATGTAACAGGTGTATCTGTGATTGGTCTTCTGTGGGTGTTTGGATTTGCTGACCACTCTCAGGACAGATTGTCCTGCTTTCTGCCTGGACACAGAACCTTGTTTATAGATTCCTATTCTATTCTTAACTTAGCAGCTTCTGCAACTTGTCTCTCTATTCCTTTTAGTATAGTCATAATGTATCTTATAAATCAATAGATCCAGCCTTCTGATCATAAAGCAAGATTCTTGTCCATCTCTCTCACCCTGAGGAACCCTCACAAGTCACTGGAAGAGTAATCCATCTGGCCTCATGCTGTCCTCATCTCTCACAGCAGACACAGGAATGAGAGATTCCCCTGGATAACACCTGGGCAGGTGGGAAAGAGCAGCATGGAAGAACATAATTGTTACATTTGTGATCCATTTGGCCTCATGCTGTCCTCATCTCTCACAGCAGACACAGGAATGAGAGATTCCCCTGGGTAACACCTGGGCAGACCAGGAAAGAGCAGCATGGAAGAAGATAAAAGTTACATTTGTGATCCATCTGGCCTCATGCTGTCCTCATCTCTCACAGCAGACACAGGAATGAGAGATTCCCCTGGGTAACACTGCTGGGAGAGCTGCAAGCTGCACTGTCAGAGAGGGCATAGGGAGCAGGGCATGGCAGCAACATCTGCTGAGTGGAGACACTGCTGTGTGTGTTACCTCAGCAGCCAGCTCAGAAACAGCTATAGAGAAACTCTTATCCTTTTTTCTGCAAAAGGGAGTGGGGGGAAAGGGCTGGGAATGAAAAGTCAATGGAAAAAAATTGCAATTTGATTTAGGAAGCATCCTTTATGAACCCGCTACCAATAACTCCTGAGGATGCTGTACCTGCTTTTCTTATCATGGAGGAGGATTTATTCATAGAGGTTTGAAAGGGATTTGTGAGGGATCCACCAGTTCTCAACACAAGGAACATTACAGCCAACCACTGGTAGTGAACATGCAAGCTCATCACAGAAGCACCTGTGATATCACAGCCCCTGCATTTCTGGGATATTGGCTTGTTTGATGGTGCTTAAACCATGTCAGCAGAGCATGCAAAGCATAAATGCAGAAAAAGATCAACCAGATAAAGGTTCTGGATTTTCAGTTTTGCTGCTCTCCTTCACATTAAGTAACTAAACTACTCATAAAACAACTATTTTCAAATGTACAATTTCATACCATTATCAGGCTACCAACTGGGAGAGTAGCCTGATAGTATCACACTTGGACATGGAAGCAAGCAGGTAAAAATGGTACAGAAATACCTCACCATCTAAGTACAGGAATTTAATTTCTAATTTTTTTTAAATTAGTTTTTCTAACCATCTGGAACTTCCTCCAAAGTTTCCATGATGATTTAGTCCAGAACGTTAAGTCTGTGTCTTTTCATTTTTTAATTTTAAATTTTAGCTCTAATTTTAAAGGATTATCCCCTGCTTACCCTATTACTTTGAAAAAAAGTTTGCTAAATATGTAATGCATTATGTTTGGGAAAGTAAATTGCAACAGGCAACCTCTCAGTTCTCCTGCAAGTGAATGCTGCCAGCTGGTGCTGCAGTACTCACCATTTTGGAGGATTTGTCCATACATCAGAAGGGTGGCTGCTCCCAGGCACACAGAGCTGTGCCAGGCTCTGTTTTCTCCCATGCCTCGTCTGCACCTTCAGCTTAAGTGACCATCCTGCTCTGGGGCTGAGGTTAATGTTTACTTCGTATGATTTCTGTTGATTTATGGTTTTTGTAGCAATTGGGCAACGCTTAAAATGGGTGGATTAAATATTTCAGACCCTCAACAGGAGAGAGCCCTTTGAATGGGAACATTCACCACCATGAGTGCCCTGTTTTGATACAGGGAGTGAATCTAAAATCTAAATCAAGTTTCAATTGCTGGAACACACACTGGCACTTTAATGTCAGAATTTCTTCTGTGGTTATTCCTTGAGAAGCAGTGAGTATATTATTTGAAATTTTTAAAATAGGAAACTCCCTAAAACTCAATACTAATTCAGACCTCAGAGCAATGATAATAAATAAGAATGGGTAAACTACAGAAAGAAAGGACTTATGGTCCTGCTAAAGAGGTGGCATGAAATACCTTGGCATGGTAAGGTATGGAAAAAAAAAATGGAAAAATGGAAAAATAATTGTTTTAAAGAGTGATTGGACACTGCAGTGGCCAGCAGGACTGGCAGCCCTTGAGCAGCACAGTGCAGGGAGCACAGCACTGAAGTGCAGGATTGTGCAGCAGCAAATGCAGGCTGTCCTAGAGCAGCCCACACACAGCAGACACTGGATAGCACAACTTCTCCCTTTTTTTAGCAACTTTCATAAAATGGGCTGAATTTTCAAGCTATCTACTCACTCAAAACCTTACTCTCTGTCTCTGTCCAGGGCTCTTTTCTTCCAGCTCTCAGCACTGTGTGTGTATTTAACCCTTGTGCCATCCTTGAGGCACCAGAATATATTACAAGAACTTTCTCCTGATTTTGCTACATCTGATCTGCATGGAGAGTGCAGCCAGGCTGCTCCAGAGGATAAAAGTGAGAATTCTTCTGTACCAAATCAGGGCTGATCCCTGACAGTCATAGAGACAATCAGGACATGCAGTTACTTGATGGCAGCTCAAGGAAATAGGTGTTATTCTACCTGGTATTTGCATTCTACCTGGCATTTGCTCTACCTGGCATTTACATTCTACCTGGCATTTGTATTTTACCTGGTATTTGTTCATGTGCAGCATTCACAATCAACACCAAGTCCTTCACAGTGTGACAGCATAAAGAAATGACATGAAAATTGTTTACAAGAACTATGGCCATGTTTAATCCTATCTTCACCCTGCTCTTAATCCTGAGCAGAACTTTATTATAAAGTAAGAAACATAGACACAAATCTTGCTACTTTAAAGTGACAGCAATGGAAAAAAACTTGAAATACAATTGTGTTATGGCAGAACAGTGGAAACTACTTTTGGTGGTTTATCAGAGCCTGGTGCAAAATGTCTTTTCTTCAGCAGCATACATCTCCACAGGCTGATGATGCTTCCTCTTAAACCTGCAGCTTTTGAATTTCTCTGTGATTTCAGAGGTTGACTTCCCTTTTGTTTCTGGGAGGAACAGGTAGATAAGAACCACTGAAATGACCAGGACAGCAACAAAGATGAGGAAGCAAAAAGGACCAAGTAGCATCTGGAGATAAAAAATAGAACAAGATGAGTGATTTCCTTGGTAATTCTTGCACCTATAGATTCTTGAAACTTGTTGATTTGTTCCTGTGAAATAAGGAATAGGCTCATTTTACAGAAACAATATTTATTTATCTTTTCAATCTGTTTCTGGGGCAGCAAGTGGTTTCTGTAGTACTGGGAAATGTTTTATATAAACGGCCTCCATATGCCATAGCAACAAGGGATTCACAGTTTGGATCATCTACAAGGCATTTCATCCCACTCCCTGTGCAGATCAGCCTAGAAATCCAGATTAAATTGACAGAATCAAAGAGAAGATTTGAATCCAGTTACATACTACAGCAAAGGGGAAAACCATCCCAGTGAAGGTGAGGCCCAGCCAAATGATGATTCCACCAATTACAAAAGCAGAGGCCCTTGTTGACAGGGTGAAGATTTCGTTCATGACAGCCACAACAGCTCCAGCTGAGGGAAAAAACAACATGAAAATTATAGAAACATTGCAGTAATTGACCATTTCCCAGAGAAGATACCTCAGCTCTGCTCCTGTGGGAATTCTGTTGTGTTTTCAAGGCATTCATGGCTGTCAGGTACAACTCTTACAACACATTTGAATTTGGAAGCTTTAGTAACCACTGGTAGTGTTTAGTCAGAGAACTTCCAGAGTAAATCCTGGTCTCAGGTGAGTGAGGTTCTGCCAGAGAGCTGCAGTTTGGGTCTGGTGTTACTGATGGAGGTGACTAAAGGTGATATTGAGAGAGGACAAGAAAGGACAGAGCAGTGCTGAGAGGCAGATTGTGCAGGCTGTCATGCCTTTCACAGAGTAGAATTTTATAAGTTGAGAAAACTCTGGAATTTTAGAAAAGCCTACCTCTGCCCTTTGGCAGAGATCAGCCATCTGAACCTGTGTGCACTGAGCAGTATTCACACTGTAAAACAAATCTTCATAAATTGATTAACAAGGATTTATTTGGTTTGAACCTGTAACCCAATGAGAGAAAACAGGGTCCTGATTCATCTGGGTGTGAATTATTTGTTTAAAAAATTGTTTCTTGGGTAATTAATTCATCAAAAATTGAGATTCCCTCAATCTCAGTCTCCACTAAGCTGTTGATTTTCAAAGATATACTCACACATTCTAGTTCTACTTCTATACATTCATGGTCTGTGCTTATCCCTGTGATCCAAGGCTTTTATTGTGGTGCTCACCTGGCCCCAGTCCATAAGCAATGATGAAGAGAAAGATGAGAATGACACTGCAGTACCTCAGCCAGAGGAACTGATCCTAGACAAAGGGAGGGAGGGGAACAAAAATCAATTTTATAGCTCTAACACAGCTCATCCAAGCACAGGAGCAGCAATATTTGGCAAAAGCCCATGATGCTGAGCTGTGTGATAGATGCTCTCTAGACCTGCTTATCTCTCCTTATTGAAGCAGGAGCTGGTGGTGTCACACCCACAGAGGTGAGTTTGTATTTAGGAGCCATTCTGACCTGCTGCTTTGGACATGGAGCAAAGGCTGCTGTCCTGCACAGAGAATCCTCCTGCAGGACATTTGCTTACACTCAGCAGAAGGCAGGTTTCAAGCAGCACCAGGATCAGAGCCATCAGCAAATAACCCCCACACAGGAGCCGGCGGCGCCCAAAGCGATCGATGATGGAGCTCTGAGGAACAGACACAGAAACAAATATTGCCATCACTGCAACATGGCAAAACCCAGCTGTGAGCCATCCAACCAATCAAGCCAATCCCACCAATCAAGCCAATCAAGCATTACCCTTGAGCTCTTTCTACTGCAGAGAATACAAATCTTATTGGTACCAACATTGATATTTTATTGAATTCCTTCTGCACTCTCTAATACCATGAATTACCATCACTGCCCAGCATTGCAGCTACTTCTTAAACACTGTAATCAATGGAAGCATGGTACAACTGCATTTGAATGTATACTATACACAAACATGGAGAAATGAGTACTCATATTTATGTTTATTTATGTTTGAATGACACTTCAGAAGGGATTTTTAAAGGAAATTAAGATGAATGAAGATGGCATGAAACACATGAAAATTAGGACAAAATTTGCAGTGGATGATAACAACCACTGTACAGATTTATGCAGCACCACAGAAAAGTTCTTTGGTTCCTACAGAGGTTTATTTGCTTCAAGGAAGAATACTTTAATTCTTAATACCCCAGGAAGCTCTGACTTACACAGAATATGATAGAGATGAGTTCAGAGATTGAAACTCCTAGAGATACATATGGGATTATGCTTTCCGGCAGGTTGGCTGTTTCAAAAATTTCTGAGGTGTAAAAGGTGATCTGGGAAATAAGAAAAATAAAGCACAGTTAACAGATGTGATATGTGCTTATCCAGGATCACTTAGATATGTCCTCACTGCAAAACCAGAAATACATTACTGGGCCTTAGTAGAGGTAACATAACTGTTCCAGATGTGAGAAATCAAAAGGCAAACAAGAAAATGGATTTGTGAGGGGGAAAAAAGAGTGGGGAAAAAAAAGTAGTTGAAAGGAGGCTATTGCTTGTAAGACATGGGGAAAAAGTATTGCTTTGGCAAAAAGGAAATGGAAAGGGAGAAGACAAGAGAAAGAAAAGAAAATCTCAGTCTTAGCACTCCAGACATTGTCAAGCAAACTGTTGATTCTGATATTTTCCAGTTGCTAAACAGAATCTGCGTATCTGCAGCATCCTTGAGAGAATGGGCACCATTTCCCTGCCAGCAGAGTGCAGAGGGAATTCCATTGCTGGCAGCTGGAATGAACCACCTCCAGCACAGGCTGAACCAGGGCTCATGGAGAGACCCCCAGACAAGTGAAAACATGAGGGGAATGACTGCCAGCTTGGGCTGCCCTGGGCTCAGCCAGCTTTACACGAAAACTGCTGGAAGGATGTTGCTTCATGGATAAATGTCCTTTCTCAAATGAATGAAACTGGATGGCAGAAGTCAAAGAAAGGTGCTGGGTTTCTGTAGCTCAGGATCCTTGTAACCCTTTCCTCCTGAGATCCCTTGGCTGTACCAGCAGGGGATGAAGGCTCAGTGCCCTTGCAGGAACTTGGGCTGAGCTGGAGCTCTTGCACTCCCACCTGAGGAGCTCCCTGAAAGGGATGAACAACCCTGGGGTGACACCACAGGTGTCAGGCAGTGTGCTCTGCGTGAGGAGGAGTAATGCACACCCAGGGGAAAGGGGCAAGTTGGCATTGGGGTAATTTGGAGAATTAATAGCAGATGGGAACATGGAAATAGATAGAGTAGGAGAAAGGGCATGAGGGATGTTAGGATTAGCGCTCATTTTTGTCCTTTTTTGTCTAGGGGCGTTATTAGTTGTTTTGTGATTAGGTTAATGAATCATAGTTGGAGGGTTGAAAGTCGGTTGGTGATTCATCGGTTGTCTAGGGATGGTAGTAGTAGGGCTGGAAATGTTATTGAGATGAGGATAAGTGGGATTCCTAGGAAGGATGGGCTTGAGAATTGGTCGAAGAAGTTTATGTTCATGGTCAGGTTCAGGGGGTAGTGCTTGGGGTGATGGGTGGTTTGTTAGAAGGGGGGTTTATTGTTACGAATGAGAGAAGTTTGGGCTCAACTCAACTGCACTGAGGCCACAGAGCTGCAGGCTGAGCAGGAGGAGGAGCATGGTGCACAGCTGTGGGTGCACAGATCCTTCTCTCAGCACCTCCAGGACATTCATGATTTTGGTGCCTTTTGTTATGGCCTTTTCCTTCATCAGGTCATCAAACTCTGTTTGATAATTCCCTTCTCCCCAGAGCTGCTTCATGGCTACAGAAGAGACAGAATGAAGTAGACACCTCCATCATTTGATCCACTCATAATTCTGTGCTTTTCAACTTTTAGTGACACTAAACATTTGCACTTGAGTTCATGCTTTGAGTTATCAGTTACTGAGCAAAGGACTGGAAGGAACATCACTTACTGGAACATGGTGAAACTTCCCTGGAAAATGCTGTAGCAGTTAGGGGCAGATCTTAAATGTCTCTGATGACTCTGCTTGCTCTGGAGGACTTTAATCATGCAATTATCAAGAAATCTGTGGCTGGCTAATAGAAAAGCCAATTCCTGCTGTTAGCTTCACTTTCCCAGGAGTAATTTACCAAACTAAGGATCTAAAGTTTTATTTTACCTTTCAAGCAACCAGCTTTGTCTTCTTTTTGCAGCAAGAGATAGGGTGGGGACTCAGGGAAGAATGGCAAAAAGATCAGCTGAATCAATGCCACCAGCCCAGAGAAGGACAAGAGCACGTTCCACATGTCTTCAGTCCCTAAAAGTTCTCTATGAAAGCATGTTAGAATCTATTTGTAGTCCAGTAAAATTACACTTTATAACTAAAAAGGTATTTTCTAAATTCTAGGATAGCTAAACAAAATACATACAGTCATTGAAAAGTTCAATTGCAATAGATGATGTTTAGGTTAGTGACAGGAAAATAGACTAATACTTTATTTCTTCTGCAAGACTGACATTTTTCTTTGACTTTTAATTTCTGAAGGTCAAAATATTCCTACAACAGCTCCCTAAATTAACACTGCAACTCTGCATGAAGTTATTAAGAAATTAGCAAAACTTTCAGATCTCACAAGTTTAATAAGAGTATTTACATACAATCTTTTCTTATTAACTGCACCTCCAGAGACTGAGTCATCCTTTCCCAAGAGAAAGCCTTTCTATCCCCAGGGAATGAACATGGAAACCTCAGGGACTTGTAGGGGGTAGATGCCTCCTCTTTGACTGCTTTACCTAAGCAAAATAAAACCCCACCCTTGGTGTAGGTGTGATTCCAGGACTGGGAAAACACCACTTCCCTGCTATATAGAAGAAAAATAAATATAAAAGAGACAGAGAAGGAGCAGCACAGGCACCTTAATCCAAGAATTCGTGCTACAGTTTTCCCTAGTGCGAGGAACACCGTGGAGGTCACGTTTATAAATCCACGCAGCTTCTTGGGGGAGATCTCTCCAGCATACTGAACATGGGCATTCATGTGTATTCCTAAAGGGAGAAGACAGGAGAGTGCTAAAGCTGTGGAAAGAAAGAAACAGGGTCCCTTTTCAGCTCTCTCCTCTCTCTTTTGAACCCCCTCCCATATATCCAAAAGTGCACTTTTTACTTCAATCAGGATGTTTAGCTAATCCATCAGCTCTCTCCACAAGAGCTCTTGGAGGCAAAGGACAGCTCAGCTTCCCTTGCCCCACTCTGTTCCAGGCCCTCTGGGTTCCAGCACATTCCTGGGAACTCCCAGCAGGAAGATTTCTGTACCCACCCCAAAGAAGCCCCATGAACATTAAAGTGGGGACTCCTGTCACGGACATATTTTATGAAAATTCATTTTGATAGGATTTTTTCTCCTGAGAAGCTGAGAGGCCTCAGAAACAAAATGTAAACAATGATTGTCTGCTGCTGTGGAATGCAACAGGTGCATCTGTGATTGGTCCATGTGAGTTGTTTCTACTTGGTGACCAATCAGAGGTCCAGCTGTGTTGAGGCTGTGAGCAGTCACAAGATTTTATTATCATTTCATTCCTTTCCTTTCTTTGCTAGCTTCTTTCATTAGTGTAGTTTTAATATAATATATATCATAAAATAATAAATCAGCCTTCTGAACCATGGAGTCAAGATTCCCATCTCTTCCCTCGTGCTGGAACCCCTGCAAACGCCACCCCAGAGCCGTACCAGCAGCGATGCCCTCGAGGAAACGCCCAGCCAGGATCATCTCAAAGGCCTTGGCTCTCCTGCTGCAGGCAGTGAGCAGCGCTGCTGTTATCAGCACCACGTCGTTGAAGAGCAGACTTTTCTTCCTGCAACAGTGAGCAGAACTTGGCTAGGACCCATGATTTACTTTTCTTCCTTGACTTATGTTTGATTCTTCTCTGGATTTACAGACTGAAGCCACGGCCATGTTTAAAGCCATTGCTTATAGGACAACGAAATCTGGTTATTAAAAGGCATGATGGCTTTGCAGAGGGGTGGAAAGGGAGAAGCTAGATTGTTCTTACTCATTGTGTGAGCAAACCATGAGGCTGAAGGAAACTCCTGCAGGATAAAATGCCAGCAAAACTATGGGAATTGTGTGTCAACAAAAGCTGTGACAAGGGAATCAGAAATTCTTGTCTCTCCAATGCACCCTGGTTTGGTTTTATGTGCTGGGTGAATTCTCCGGCAGCAGGGGGCAGTGAAATTCTGATATCCCTTCTTTTGCTGACTAATATTTAATAGCTTCCCTGTCACAGCCCTGGGAAATGTACTTACTTCCCAAAAGCTGCAGTGAGGCAGCCACTGCACAGACAGCCTATCATGCCCCCCAGGCAGTACCCAGACACGATGAGGGACCACAGCAGCATCAGGCTCTCCTGGGGCAGCACAGAACCATAGCGCTCCAGCCACGTTTCATTGATAAACTTCTGAATGTACTGGCACAAAAAAGAGATTTTCATTCCACCAAGGCACTAATCATAATGGTATTAATAATGTTCACAATTTAAAAATTATATTAATAGTTGTGACTAAAAGCATGACTATTGGACATTTGTTTGCAAATAAGGACGGATATTTCCTCTCATACAGCCTGATAGTGCACAAGAATTTTTCAAAAATTAGTTATACTCTTTAGTATGTTGAATCTTACCTCTCCTACACTAGAAAATTAGGACCTTATATTATACATTATATATATATAATATATAATATACATTATATATATATATAATATACATTATATAATATATATAATATATATATATTAGGACCTTACATTATTACATTATAGTAAAGTGCAAATGTTCTTGTGGCCAGTAATGGATACAAAGAGAAAAGGGCTGAGCTGAAGGCTGACTCCATCAGCTGTTTTGTTGGTTTTTTTGGTTGGTTTTTTTTTCCGTGGCATAAACTTTAAGGAAGTATCTTCATATGTTGTTTCCATAAAATTCTGTGGGAATTTGTCTCTGGAGCACAGCTCCTTGCAGTCATGCACACTCTGACAGTGACAGTATGGCATTGCAAACAGCCGGCAACAAACTGACATAACAACGACGAAGAGCTTTTGTAAAGCATCTGCAAAGTGCAAGGCCCAGGGATTTTGTTTTCTCCAGCTTTGCCTACCGGAGAAGTGTAATTGATGACAGACATTTGGAAGCCAGACAGGTGGGTTCCACCAATCCCCAGCACCACGAGCATCAGCAACAGCCTCCGGTACTGAACCTGCAGAGAGGAGGGAACACATCCTGAGCTCCTGATACCAGCACACCTTTCACACCATGACATGATTTACAGCACCTTGCATCTTCACACTTCCCTGACTAAGAAACCTTTAACATGCAAAAACCCAACCTGAGTTTCACAATAATCAAGCAAAATCCATTTGTTAAATATTAAAATACACATCTGCACATTCTGCTGTGTTCTTCTCCTGGCTACTAGCAATCTAAAAAGACACACTCTCTAATTCTGTTAGTTCTGCTAGGCACAGAAAACAAAATTCATAAAAGCCTTGTTGAGATCATTTGTGTTTACCTTTGTACTAGAAAGAAGCTACAGCTTTCTTGAGTCCCTTTTTGCTTTCATCTTTGCCTCCTCAGGGACAGTGTTCACCATTTTCCAGAGATGACTCAAGTCTGTTCCCTCAAAACTTTTTTTTCTACATTTCACTTTTGTCGACCCTGTATGAAATGGCATTTTTAGAGGCCCTATCTGAATGACTCCTATTGGAAATGCTGAGTTTCCATGATGTACACTGAATTTCAGAGCATTTCTCACAAGCACAAATGTTTTCAGGCATTTAGTCAGGTCACATTTTAAACCCACAAGTATCCTCAATTGTCCTTGAGAGCACAGAGCAGTAGAGTGGTGGAGTTTTTTCTGGTTTGTGTTTTTCACTGATACTGTGTTCTCTATCTCCTCCCAAATTCTCATCTTTCCTGGTTTCCCAGCTCCTCTTTTAAACCTCTCGCTGTTTTGCATTTCTAATGTATTTTCTCCAGATGCCATTTAGTCAGTTATTGCTCAACCAGCATTGTCCCAAGCCCTGTTGCTCATTTTTACTACCAGAAGGATTCCCTTTGCTGCAATCTTAGACCATGCTGCTGTTAGTGAGCAGGGCTAGAACACAAGAATTTGGATACTCACCAGCTCTGAGAGGAAACCAGCCATTTCCCCTTGAACCCCTGCCTGCTCTGGGAGCCCTTGTCAAGCCTGCCAGAGGAGAGAGATGGGCTCCACACTGAGATTGTAAGAGTTTGGGATCACAGCACAGAAGTTAAATTCTAACTGTGTGGCTTTTAGCAAATTGTGTCCTCCCCTGACACTGGCCAGAGCCTCTTCTTGCTGGTTTAATTATTCTAAGACCCAGATATGACAAGGTGATTACAACATTGGTAAATGTTTTTCCTGCTGGGATTGGGAGCCCTGGCCCTTACTCACGCTGCTACAAGCCCTGAGTGCTCCTGTTGTGTGAGGAGTCAGTGCCACCAGCTTCTCTTCCCTCTTCACCTCTCTGAAAAGCAGCTTGGGCAGGGCAGGTTTTCCTCCCCTCCAGCCTACAGCTGGACCTTAGAATTGTAGCTCAGCCATAATGCCTCTTCTTGCCTGCTAGAAGAGTTACCATTGCTTGAACAATTTCCCAGATGCAGGAAATGAAGTGTTGGAATATTGGCATTTTGTGTCCTTGCTCACACTCAGTTCTTTACAGAGGGTCAGAGTTTTTCCAGAACCACTCAGGAGCCTCTCTGTAACAGGGGAATTAACCCACTGTGTGCCAGAGCACAATGCCACATCCCAGTGGGCAAGGAGCTGATGAGCCTGGAGGAACCAGAGGTGTAGTAAACCCCTCAGGTTTAGCCAGGGCCCCTTGGAGAACAGAATGCTGACACAGCAGCAAAGAAGTTTCCTGTCTCCAGGGACATCTGCCTTGTACCTTATCCCTATAGCCATGTAAGGCAATATTGTGTTAAACCCTACCATTGGTCACTTATGGTCACTCTAACACCTTTGCCATTGGTCAGGATTGGATCCAGGCCAAGGGTAT